TAGATTGCGGTGAGCTCTCGATCATACGTGCTGTATTTAAGTTGAGCCTTATCGAATTTCTTCGAGAAAAAACCCAAAGGTTGTACATCATTATTGATAACCTGATGTAGCACCGCTCCAGCTGCTACATCAGATGCGTCTACCCACAACGAAAGCTCGGCGTTCTGCGCTGGGTGTGCTAGTAAGGCTGCGTTTGCGAGTTGTTGTTTGCACTGCTCAAATGCTGATATTGTATCAGCTGTCCAGACTAGTGAAGATCGATCGTTGCGCTTATTTCCAGGAATCATGTTGAGTAGTGGTATTTGTGCCGCTATTGCATTCGGGATGAATCTCCTGTAGAAATTAATTACAGCTAGCAAACTTTTGAGCTCCTTCACTGTGGTTGGACGTTGGTAGTTCTGTACTGCCTGGACACGTTCGGGCAATGGACGAATACCGTCGGCCGAGACTGAGTGACCAACGAAAATTATTTGCTCCCGACCGAATTCACATTTGGCTACGTTGATCGCTAGGTGATGCTCATGAAGTCGGGTAAACAGCTGTCGGAGATGATCTCGATGTTCTTCTGGTGACGATGAAGCGATGAAAATGTCGTCTATGTATGGGTATACGAAGTCCAGTCCTCGTAGTACTTCGTGAATGAGTCGTTGGAAAGTTTGAGCAGCATTGCGAAGCCCGAATGTCATATAGGTGAATTCGAATAACCCAAACGGTGTGGTGATGGCAGTCTTCGGGATGTCATCAGGATGTATAGGCACTTGATGAAGGCCTTCTGCAAATCAACCTTTGAAAAGATCGTTTTTCCCTGTAGAATAGTGGTGAAATCTTGCAGGTAAGGTAAAGGGTATCTGCCAGGGATTGTTTGAGCATTTAATGATCGATAATCTCCGCAGGGCCGCCAAGATCCATCTGCTTTTCTTACCATGTGCAATGGGCGATGGTCGACAAATTCCCAGTTTCATTAGGTTTTCGAACTCTTTTCGAGCTGCCACGAGCTTTTCAGGTGCAAGCCGTCTCGGTCGAGCGTATGTTGGTTGGCCAGTTGTTTCTATGCGATGAAGTTTTACTTAAGCTGGGTTTAGATAGGGCAAGTCAATTGATCAAGTCAGTTGAATTCAACTGACTTGAACGCGAATTGAACGTGTAAACCATGCCATTCAACTGACTTGATCAACTCACTTGAATTGAAAAAAGTTGAACCAGGCTCAACTTTTCAAGCCAATTGAATTCAACTGAGTTGATCATTTGACTTGCCCTATCTAAACCCAGCTTTATTGTGCCGGGCGGTGCCAGTATCGTGATGGATGGGAACTCAGCGAGCAATTCAGCGTAAGGAGATGTTGTGCTGAACGTTTTTATCGAATACTCACTGGTATGAGTTAAAACAGCCATTGTTTCGAGCTTCGTTGTGTTGTCGATTAGACGATGCCGCTTCAAGTCGATAAGTAAGTCGTTGTAGCAGATGAATTCGGCACCAATAATGCCTGTTGTAACGTCTGCAATAAGAAAGTTCCACAAAAATTCACGCCGGAGCCCGAGGCTAACCTTCAACAGAGTTTCTCCATAAACTTTAATCGGCGTTCCATTTGCGGCGAACAACTTGATGCTGGTAGGTTTCATCCGGGTTAAATTCGAATCTCTCGGTATAACGGACACATCGGCTCCGGTGTCGATAAGAAAGTTTCTGTTGGTAGATGTGTCCGCAATTTTCAGGCGAAATATCGTTGCTGTGTCGGAAATATCGCCAACTTCCAACGCAGGTTCAAGATGGTGTCATTGCTGACTTGGTGGTTGTCCGAAAGAGCACGGTTTTCTGCATGTACGTGCTTCTCTTCCGAATGTACGATGATACCAGCACATATCATACGAAGCTTTGTTGTCGTAGCGTTGATCTATTCTACTTCGGTTGCGAGAACGCGAACGGTCCCGGAAGCTTCTTTGTGGACGGAACGTCTGCTCGAACTTATTAGTTAGCTGGGCGATTTCGCGTTGAAGGTCTTCAATACTGCTCGGAGTAGGTATTTCTGGGACGATTGCTGGTGTCGTTGGAGAGAGTATTCCCATGGCATTGATGTTACGGAGGCCCATGGAATCGACGATTGCATCAGCAATTGTTGCTTTTTCTGATGGGTCGCCATTTGAAGCAATGACTGCTGCTTGAGCGTGAGTTGGAAGTCTGGAGGCCCATAAGTCCAGAAGCACAGGTTCACACAATGAAGTTCCAGCTACTCGTCTCATCTCGTTATATAGTTGACTAGGCTTCATGTCACAAAGAGGCATGTCGGAAAGTACACGCCGCAATCGTCTCTGCTGACTATCAGCGAAGTGGTTGGTCAGCTTTTCCTTGATGTACGGATATTTGTCGGCAGCGGGTGTGGCGTCTATGATGGAACGTAATTCTGTCAGCTTACTTGGTGGCACCTGTGCCATGACGATGTTGTATTTCCTGGTATCGTGTTGATTTCCAAGTCCAGAGGCGGCAAACCAGAATTCCAGCGATAGGAAGTATGATTCGATGTTCGATTCACTCATCACCGGCGGATTGAGTCGTGGTATGCTAATCGTGTCTACGTTGCCTTCAGGTTGGTGCTTATCTTCCAATGACATTTTTCGCGAATACGGGGTCACCAATATGGCTTGTACGGGATCAGATTATTCGGATTGAAACAGCGCGTTCAAATTCTGGTATAACACTAAACTGTATTTTCATTTTGCCATATGGCTTATATAAGGAGTCAAACAATAAACCATTCATTTCTATAGTCCTGATCATCAAAAGGGTTAAAGTACGGAGTAACAATTGTGTATTCAATTTGTTCAAAAATGTTTTGAATACGCAGGCAATTTGAGGCACTTGCGCATGCGACAAAAAATGTTGCAACGATGATGTCGCACGGAAGCTGCAACGATGATCGAATAGATGACGCTACATATATCATGAAAATTGTAAGGGAAAGTTAAGGTGAGTTTAAGGGTAGTACTGAAGAGACTATTAGCTAGATTATGATTTTATCTCCATTGAATTCTAAAGCAAATCGAATGGAATGTCAATCAGCATTATAAGCGAATTTGAAGCCTCTTTCCAACTCTTCGGAAAACTTGGCTACAATCCTGAAACTACGCTTAATTTTACCTACGACTTACATCTCTTAAAATCAATCAAAGAGAAATTTTGAAAAGATAGGTAATAACTCCATGGTAATCTAATTCTTAAAACAGCTCAACAAAATCTCTACAATAATGTCATGCTAGTTTGAAGATTTCTAAATTAATTTGTAAGAATTTGGCAGGAATTTAAAGGAGTTCGGCAAGAAATTTTGAGCATATTTCCAAAGAAACTATGAGCAGAGAATCTGAAGAAATTTCCAAACGAATATTAAGAACAATGTCAAGAGAATTCTAAGAGATCCTCTTTAGGGCATTTTGAAGAGAATGCTGAGGTTAAATACAAGGCAATTTTGGGAGAGTACCTTTCTTAACTCTAAATGGTATATCCAGTAATTTCCTAGGAATATTCCAAGCGAATTCTAAAGAAGACTATGGAGAGACATTAATAAAGAACGAAAACAATATGTAGTGAAAGTGTGGCAGCTATGGCACTTTATAAAACTATAGTGCTCCACTAATTGGACATTCGGCCTAACTTATGTTTAAAATAAGTTTATCCATGTTGAAACATAGACCTTTAGAACAGTATTGAGACTAACTTCCGATGAAAGAAATTTTGAACATTCCGATAAATTCGAGGTTTTGGCAAAATGGCCAATTAGAAGACCACTATTGCCATAACTGGTACGCAACTGTAGGTCCGAAATTTTTAGAAACTCAAATAATCCAGAATCTTGGATTGGATTTTAATAAAAGGTTAAGTCCACAATCTTAAAAACAAATACGTCCCATATCCATGAAGAAATTTTCCAGACATTCGACACCCTGCAATTCTTTCAACATCTAACATTGGTTATCCGGACTCCTTGAAGCCACCCAGCTCAATCCGAACCACACGTTTGCTTTTATTTTCGGTCGGCCAGACAGTTCTGTGGTGGTACGATGATTGCCCGTGCAAATGACGCATATACATTTCGCGTTTCACGTACTCGACGGGTTTTCAACTCCCATTCGTAGAAAGACATTTGCTAAGCCACCTCCCTGCGCACATTCATTGTATACCTACCTAAATCCCTTGCAAGTTTCTTTTTCATCCGTGCCAAACTAAACCGGCCGCGGGGAGGGGGGGAGCGGAGTCACGTATATGTTTGCACTTCAAGCATAATGGCTGTGAGGATATTTGGGGGCTTCAGTGGCTCATATCGCACGCCCTAATGGTGGTTGGATCCCCCATTATTGGGGAGGTAGAATGCGAAATTTAACCTTCAAACGTCACCCCAGCTTGTTGGTTTAGTCGATTCCGTTGCATGAAGCCATACTGTCTGTATCTATAGAGCTACTCATTCGAGTGGTGCATGGTCGTATCCTCTGATCCAATCTAAGCTGCAGGCTAAGGGGAATCAACAGGCTTCCATCGACAGAGGAAACTTTCCCACAGAACGCGAAATCGACTTCGCGTAGGTTGTTGACAACCATCCCGTATACTCGGTAGATGCATCGCCACTGCTACTGCAATAACTTTGCATATTTTATTACTCGTTAACATGAAACATGGACCTCTCGACGACGATGATGGCTGGTAGGTATATGCTTCTGAGAAAATAATATCGATATAAACGATAACGATGACGGCTCATACAGTGTAGCACCTCGGTCGGTCGCCTGCTATAAGGATGGGCGTTGTTACTGTGACCTCAAAATCAACCTCCATCAAACTCAATCTCGTTTAATACGATAGTTTTATGCGACAACAACGGCACGGCCGCCGGTCAAATTACTTTAGTGCATCTATTTAAAGTTGATCACCGCACTCTCGCCGATGCAATGTAATTTTTCAATTTCCCTCAAACTAACCACTTCTCTTCGTTTCGTGTCTCATTTTCCAATTTCAGAGCTTGGGCATACTGGCCTCGATTCCGGCGGCTCTGCTGATCATCTCGTTGGTGTTCCTGCTGCTCTACCTGTTGACCAGATGCTGCGACCGGAAACCGAGGAAACCGAAGTCGCACGGATGCCAAAAGTGTACGCTGGTGTTCTTTGCCATCGTGTGCTGCGCCGCCATCGGGCTCGGACTGTACGGGAACGATGATCTGCACAATGGAGTCCTGCAAATCTTCAACTCCGGCCGGAAGATCGAACGGTTGATACTGAACGTTAGGAATCAGGTGAGTCTAGTAGTTAAAGGGAAGAACATGTCGGAGAACCGTTTGTAATGCACTACCCGCGTCATGCACTCGTAAACGCCATCAAATCAGGCGACCCATTATTCAAGAAAATCCAATTCATACAGATTAATTGCACTCGATAAATTATACATTGGCGACTTCTTGTCGGACCGGATCGTGTCTTCTTCCTGCACCCATCATAAACCAGGGCAGGCGGCAACCCACGAGACCTGAAACCACAATCCACCCATCATTGAGTAGACCACAAATCAGCACAAAAATACACACACACATGGAGGTAGGTCTCCTGTTCCAATCACGCACTCAAATAATTCAAACCACCTTGCAAACCACTCCGCCCTTTACTCCGGCCCATAGCATGCACCTGGCCTGATCCAAGTGAAAAGAAGCTTTTCGTTACGAGCTTGTTGTAGAGTCAGGCCAGAAGCCGGGCGTTCATGAATGCAAGCAAGTTGTTAAACTTGTTGTACCTATCCGTCCTGCCCCGCTGGTTGCCCCAACTCCGAATTCGCTTTTAGATTACCGGTTGAAACCTGTTAGTAGGTACCAACAGCATTCATTGGACGATGGGTTGGTTGGTGGTTCCTTCGTTTAAGTGGCACTCTGTTTTTTTTTTTTGTGTTGTCGTTCATAAGCGTCATATTTTCTCGCCCTGCTCTTGCTACATTGTGACTGACTGCAAGGGAATCCTAGGCTGGGTAGTAAAACACGATGCTCGCTCCATTTGGAAACGGAATCCGGACGGGAACCAGACACCAGAAGAGCAAACACTATAGGAGAGAAGGTGCTGTCGGTACATCAGGTTGGGTGTTGCGTTCACATGACTCTAGTGGGGCATTGCATAATGTGCACTTTGTGACCTCAGAATGGAATTCTAGTAACAGATAGGGTTACGGCATAGGTTCTCAAACTTTTTGGATGCACGACCCACCCAAACGTTATGCGTGTTTTTCACGACCCACCAGAAAATGTTCATCTGTTTTTAATGAATTAGTAAACAATTCGAATCTTTCAGCGGTTTATTTATATACCTAAGTGCAATTAGTATATTTTTTTGCGGAATATAATTCACATACAAGATAATTTGTTATTTCGGATGAAATATGGTTCAAAAATATTTTCATTGGATGCCCAACAAACATTGCAAGCTGAATAAAAGCCTATTCAGGCCCACATATGCTTCTTCAGCTAAAAAATAGCTTATCTATAAAAACATAATTTCTCAATCTTTTTCGTCACAACAAATTGCATTTTGTCGGGAATCTATTGAAGTTTTTGAATCCATCTGACCATATTTGGATCAATTCATGGTTCCGGAGTTATTCCGGTTCCCGTTGGGATCACTTTTGGTCGGCAATTGGCTTTACTGTTCTGTAATAAGTATACACACGATGAACATCATGTTTTTCTCTCAAATGATGTAATTGGACCAATGACTGCTATATCGACGGTCCACGATCACATTGGGCATTCCGGAAATGTTCTGGTGCCCCCGGGGAAGTGGCCAATTCTCAACAAGAACCAAAACCCATCGTGCGACATATCAAACTTCATGATTTTACCAAACTTGGCTGGTAATGGCCTTATTGAGAGTCCATGGTCACACTAGCCCTCCCGGGAATGTGCTGGTGCCCCCGGGGAAATGGCCAATTTTCAACAAGAACCAAAACCCATCGTGCGACATATCAAACTTCATGATTTGACAAATTTTGGCCATTAATGGCCTTATTGAGAGTCCATGGTCACACTAGCCCTCCCAGACATGTTCCGGTGCCCCCGGGGAAATGGCCAATTCTCAACAAGAACCAAAACCCATCGTGCAACATATCAAACTTCATGATTTTACAAATCTTGGCTGGTAATGGCCTTATTGAGAGTCCATGGTCACACTAGCCCTCCCGGGAATGTGCTGGTGCTCCGGGGAAGTGGCCAATTCTCAACAAGAACCAAAACCTATCGTGCGACATATCAAACTTCATGATTTTACAAATTTTGGCCATTAATGGCCTTATTGAGAGTCCATGGTCACACTAGCTCTCCCGGGAATGTGCTGGTGCCCCCGGGGAAGTGGCCAATTCTCAACAAGAACCAAAACCCATATCAAACTTCATGATTTTACAAATCTTGGCTGGTAATGGCCTTACTGAGAGTCCATGGTCACAGTAGACCTCCCAGACATGTGCTGGTGCCCCCGGGGAAGTGGCCAATTTTCAACAAGAACCAAAACCCATCGTGCGACATATCAAACTTCATGATTTGACAAATTTTGGCCATTAATGGCCTTATTGAGAGTCCATGGTCACACTAGCCCTCCCAGACATGTTCTGGTGCCCCGGGGAAGTGGCCAATTCTCAACAAGAACCAAAACCCATCGTGCGACATATCAAACTTCATGATTTTACAAATTTTGGCCATTAATGGCCTTATTGAGAGTCTATGGTCACACTAGCCCTCCCGGGAATGTGCTGGTGCCCCCGGGGAAGTGTCCAATTCTCAACAAGAACCAAAACCCATCGTGCGACATATCAAACTTCATGATTTGACAAATTTTGGCCATTAATGGCCTTATTGAGAGTCCATGGTTACACTAGCCCTCCCAGACATGTTCCGGTGCCCCTGGGGAAGTGGCCAATTCTCAACAAGAACCAAAACCCATCGTGCGACATATCAAAATTCATGATTTTCCAAATCTTGGCCGGTAATGACCTTAATGAAACTCGACGGTCACACTAGCCCTCCCGGACATGTTCCCCGGTCAAGTGGCCGATTCTCCACAAGAACCAAAACACGTTATGCGACATATCAAACTTTATGATTCTGCTGAACTCGGCCAGTAATGGTCTTTTTGAGAGCCCACGATTCCATTGGCCCTCCCTGGCATTTCCCGGTGTCCTCGAGTATATTTTCTTTTATTATAAGAAACAGCAATTAACGTGCATACTTATTTTCGCTTTCATGGAAGTTGACAGAGTTGATTTATTTCTCTTCTTAGAAGTTGATGGTTCAGAATTTTTCTCAATGTCGTCTATCGATTCTCGATCCGTCGATAGAAGCAACACAATTTTACCCTTACGCTCGGTCCAAGATGTGAGCATCATTTCTTCACTGTAACCATGTAAAGGGTGATACGGTCAAAATTTGGTCAATATCAACTTGACGTATTTCTTTCAATTTTGCATTTAAAACACCTGAACACCCCTCATTTTGAAGGTGTGTGTGTGTAGAATGTTGCTCCTATTTTGATTTTGGAATTCACTCTTCAGTTTTCAAAATGCCGTCCAAGCAAGAAGAGCAGCGTATCAAAATTTTGCTCGCGCATCGCGAAAATCCGAGCTACTCGCACGCAAAGTTGGCAAAATCGCTAAAAGTTGCCAAATCAACCGTTACAAATGTAATTAAAGTGTTTGGGGAACGTTTGTCGACAGCCAGGAAGTCTGGATCGGGGGGAAATCGAAAACCGGAAGCCGCTGAGACGACAAAGAGAGTTGCCGGTAGTTTCAAGCAAAACCCTAACCTCTCTCTCCGAGATGCCGCAAATAAGCTGGGTGTATCGTCTACAACCGTGCATCGAGCCAAAAAACGAGCCGGACTATCGACTTACAAGAAGGCAGTGACTCCAAATCGCGATGATAAACAAAATACGACGGCCAAAGCGCGATCCCGGAGGCTGTACACTACGATGCTGACGAAGTTTGACTGCGTGGTAATGGACGACGAAACCTACGTCAAAGCCGACTACAAGCAGCTTCCGGGACAGGAGTTTTATACGGCAAAAGGAATGGGAAAGGTAGCAGATGTTTTCAAGCACATGAAACTGTCAAAGTTCGCAAAGAAATATCTGGTTTGGCAAGCCATCTGTACCTGTGGCTTGAAAAGCAGCATTTTCATAGCTTCCGGGACTGTCAACCAAGAAATTTACGTGAAAGAGTGTTTGAATAAACGTCTGCTGCCTTTCCTGAAGAAACACGGTTGTTCCGTACTGTTTTGGCCGGATTTGGCATCTTGCCATTACGGTAAAAAGGCCATGGAGTGGTACGCCGCCAACAACGTGCAAGTGGTTCCCAAGGACAAGAACCCTCCCAACACGCCAGAGCTCCGCCCAATTGAGAAATACTGGGCTATTGTCAAGCGGAACCTAAAGAAGACCAAAAAAACTGCTAAGGGCGAGCAGCAGTTCAAGGCAAACTGGCTTTCTGCGGCGAAGAAGGTGGACAAGGTGGCTGTACAAAATCTGATGGCAGGGGTCAAGCGTAAGGCCCGGCAATTCGGATTTGGAAAAGCGGAAGCCTAACTGAATATTTTTCCTGAATTTTATACTAATTGAACTTGAAAAAGAAATTTGATTTGATTTTTTAAATAAACGATTTCACCGATTTACACGCGTTTTCCCTTGACCAAATTTTGACCGTATCACCCTTTAGTACAGTGCCAGGCTCTAGTTTTTTTTTTTTTTTTTTTCTTATCGATGAACTCTGGTGGGATTTCTTTTTTATTGCATCTTATAGTACCCAAGGATACAAGACCTTTGTCGAGCAAACCTTTAGCTAGAGCCAAGGTTGCAAATACTCATTTCAGCTAGAACAATGTTTTTTTTTAAATTATGAAATAATTAGATGCCATGATCATATTTTGAATTGGTAGCATGCAACAAGAGGTTGCAAAGAATGTGTTTGACATATTAAACCTGTTTATTTCACTTCATGAGAGTCACAATCAGCGATTTTTCACACACTCACTCACTCACTCAGCGCTCAGAAAATCGTTGATTGTGACTTATAGAAAGTAAAATTTACAGGTTTTATGTTTCAAACACATACGTTGAACCTCTTTTTGTAAGCTACAAGTAAAACATGCCATCATACCATCTTTTCGTTTTATTATTCCAAAAAAACATTATTTTAGCTGAAATGAGTATTTGCAACCTTGGCTAGAGGTACTGATGTAAAAAAGTTATCGAAACAAACCCTGCGTCCAGAGTT